TCAGTTACTTTAGTTTTTTATTTTTAGTATTTTATTGTAATTGGTTGGATTCTTCCCATTTGATTTCATTTCCATCGATGACCATATCGCCGTGTTTTGCTTATTATTCTTAATTGATATTGTCTTGTCCATAGGGTCCGGAGTCGGCACTGAACTCAAACCCGGGTGGCGCCGCGAAGCCGCCGCTCATCAACTCATTCGAGCTGGACCGGTGTTTGGACCGGTAAGTGCTTATCACAATATAGCAAATAATTAAAGATTGATCTATTCATCAGTTCCTAAATCAGCCAATCTCGGTCGTTTAGATGATACGAAGAAAATTACCAACACTATGTTTCGAGACCTATGAGAGGTCTACAATATCACCGCTGCCGCTTCGCTACCCGCATAATTCTTTTTTTTTAAGTTGGGAATCAAGGAATGGCTGCTCCCGCCTCTAGTTTCTTTTTTATTTCTCTTTAGGGATCTCATCTATACTTTAAATCAACCAAATACTATCACTCCAAAGAAGATGTAATTTTTTTTCTACAAGTCATTTTCATTTTGTGTCAAGATTTCTGAAGGTAATTTGGCTGTTGGTTAAAAAGAAACCTTTGTTTCCAGGGAGGAGTCCGGCAGGTGGGGCGGCGAGGCGGCGCGGCGACGCCGGCGCAGCTCGCCCCCGCGCCGCGCCTCGCCCCCTCGCGACCATGAGCCCCTCGCACTTGCACGGGTGAGTCAACTTGGAATTTCTCTCAGGGACACTGTTTTTACTTCAAACACAACAATCGATCCAATTTTATTAATTATCTCTGTTCTTTTTCTAATTAGGCTAATCAAAGATTTCTACATCTGACTAATTCTCCAATCTTAATCTTCACACGAATATAAACACTAGCACACCCAGACCCAGAAAATATTTTGTGGTTCACACAAAGTAATTGTGATAATATGCTGTCAGCGTTCTGCAGTAGTCGAGTCCATTGCACCTCGTGTCTATAAATTATAGTTCTGACTTTCTATTTTCCCTGTTCAGGCTTCAGCCCCAACATCTCCCCAAGGCTCGGCCCATTCGAGCCCGGCACCGGTGTCTCCTGCCGGGAGTGCCGGTGCAGCAGGTGGGGCCCGCTCACCACTGCCACTCGTGGCACCTGACCTGCTGGCCATGCAGCTCCTTGACCAGCACACCCAGCTGCAGGCCCTTATGAAGCAGCGGCTGTTCCACCAGCACCATATGCAAAAACAGGTACAAGGACGATGTAGTGTAAAAGTTATTGTGGAATAGATTCCACGAATCAATAATAAAAATTAACGAGTATTATCAAATGGTCCTGATATAGGGCATGTGTAGGTTTTTGAAGTTGGTGCGATTATATAGGTTTCTGAAGAAATAGGTACTCTAATTTTGTTTAATGGTATTCTTCCAACAGCATATGACATCGGAGGCTGCAAAGCGTCAGCTGGAACAATCGCGGCTGCAAGACCAGATTAATCTTAATTTGCTGTCACAATCTCACCTGCCTCCGCCAGATACGTCGCCAGGTGACTACTTTCATCAAAACTTAATTTTCTGAAAACAAGAAATATTCACCACACCCTGGACTAACGAATATTTGATTAAAAAAAAGAAGTGAAGCTTAATAAGATTCACTTGTGATAATTAATGGTTTCTTGTTTAGGATCTCTTCAGCAACAACTAGGCGCCCAGCAGCAGCAGCTGGTGCAACAGCTGCAAGCAGTACAGCGTCAGTACCTGATGCACGGACCACTCTCCGTGCCACCCAATGCTCCTCCAGGTAGTTTCACGAATTTTCTTCTATGTCCTTTTCCATAAATGAATTTAGATGTGACAGTGGTATTATTTCCGCCAGGCTTAATGCTCTGGGGCAGTGAGATGGAGGAGCATCCTCTTTTTGGTCGCGGTGTCTGCAAGTGGCCCGGCTGTGATGCTCTAGCAGAAGATTACCAGGCCTTCCTTAAGTAAGTTTTGTTTTGACCACAGTTTAGAAATCAACTACCATAATGTTTTACACTTAATTTTGATCTTGATTATGTCAATATTAGAAATGTGAAACTTCTAAATATTTTTAAATACCGAGCATTACAAGTTTCCTTTATCCAATGCGCTCAGGCACCTGGAAGCGGCGCATACCCTGGACGATCGGTCCGCGGCGCAGGCGCGCGTCCAGATGCAGGTGGTGGCGCAGCTGGAGCTGCAGCTGCGCCGCGAGCGCGACCGCCTCGCCGCCATGATGCGCCATCTGCACGCTGCGCGGGATACCACGCACCATCAGGCTAAGCATCCACATGGTATAACTATGTTTATTATACTCTACTTCTCAATACTTGGGGTAGGCCTATGTTCAGCAGTAGACGTCTTGTGGCTGATGTAATGATGATTCTCAATACTTCTCAAGACTTCGAGTTTATTCCGATCTTTACTGTCAGTTTCATTATCCACTTATGTCCTCAGTAAACCATTGTTTTATCTTTAAGTCCTTTTTGTAGTATGTATAGTAGCTGCGATAATAGTTAGCAAATATTCACAACTTGCAGGTGCTGCTTCTGAAGGTGCATCTCCTGGTCCAGTTCGGCGCCGTGTCTCCGACAAATCTGGTGTCGCTATAGCCGGAGGTAATTCTTTACTTTTAACAAGTATTCTTTTTACATCTCTATTGGTTGTGTTTGACTGCCAATGGAATCTTTCCGGATTAAAAAGTTCAGATTGAAGTTTTAAGTATTGTTTTTGTTCTTAAGGTCTTCCGTATATGCTCGAAAGAGCTGGATTAGATGTGCAACAAGGTAAAGATATAAAACAATGGTTTTAGTAGATGTTAGTCGGATATGCTGTCTTTTATTCACATTGTAGTTTTTGTAGGTTCTTGTGGTTTTGTAGTATTATTTTGCATTTGAACTCAAGTTCATATTAATGTTTTCAGAGATCCAACGCAACCGCGAGTTTTACAAATCGGCTGATGTGCGGCCGCCATTTACGTACGCCTCACTTATTCGCCAGGTTTGTACTTTCTTATACCTCTAGTATTAATTAACTAATTCACTGATAATTATATATTTCAAATACTATAACAGTCTATATGTGTCTATATGTGTAACAGTCTATAGTGATTACTTAATCACAAACTGTGTTCTTAATAAAAATAAAATTAAAAGCAGATTCTTAAGTTAATTAACACTAAGAGTAATAGTAATATATTGGATTAATACTAAGAGTTCCTCAAGGGTCGATCCTAGGACCATTATTTCATCTTAATAAAAATGTAATATTTATTAGTTTTACGTACTTTCCAGGCTATCATAGAATCTCCAGACAAGCAGCTGACTCTCAACGAGATATACAACTGGTTCCAGTCTACATTCTGCTACTTCAGGCGCAACGCTGCCACTTGGAAGGTATGTCCTAATTATTTAAAAAGTTTTGATAGACATATACCTAAACTTATTGGCAAATTAAGTCTAAAATATTATTTTAAAAGATACATATACAATAATACTGTTACTGACCTAATTGAAAAATTATAAAATATCAAAAGAAACAACTGTTTAGATTTTAGATATAATAACTAATAATTTATTTTTGAACGAAATACTGTTTGCAATACAAAGAGACAAGGTAAATGTAGTTATTTGATTTATGTATACGTATTTATATCACTATATACCTATAGACCTATTTGTAACAGCAATTTTCAACTAAAATCGCACTAAGCATCTCATTGCTAAGAAAAAATCAAAAGGTATGAAACTACAAGAAATTTTTCTAGTCAGACTTTAGTTGACGACTGCTGTTCAATAAAAGATTAAGACAATAAGAAGCTTTTATATGTACTCTATAATTCTACATAAGATTACCATCCTGTGTGTATACCTACAACAATATAAATGTGTTACGACGATGTGCTATGACCAAAAATGAAAGACGACCACCATTAAAAGAAAATACCATGTTTGAAACTAAAACAGATATAAATAATAAAATGAACATAGATACTGGTATAGATGGGATTGTTAGTGTAAATGTAAAACAGAGCATAGCACATCGTCTTCAAGTAGTGGAGTGAATGTTGACGCGTTGCGTGGCGACACAGAACGCGGTGCGTCACAACCTGTCGCTGCACAAGTGCTTCATGCGCGTGGAGAACGTGAAGGGCGCCGTGTGGACCGTGGACGAGGTCGAGTTCTACAAGCGCCGGCCGCAGCGCGCCGCGCACCACCCGCCGCTGCACGCCGGGTACTGCCGTACTCCCGCCGTCAGACCTGTTCTACTCTACTCGCTCACACACATACACTACACAAATTACACTTCACTTTCACTTTTACTCTTACACTCTATCTGGATTTCTTGACAATTATACTTTTTACACAACTTATTCTTTTACACTTTAGATAAAATTCAATGCACTTATTCACACTTTAACATTAACACTGTACAAGTATTGACTTAGCATGATAATCTTCTAATTATTTAGCAATACATCACACATCACACAAGATTATATACTGTACATAGATTATTTTTACACTTTACAATCTACTCTTGCTATATAGACCTGTTGCCAATTAGAAAAACATACAAAATAAACTTACAAATTATGCTTTACAGTTTACACATACAAAAATATGAATGTTCATTACACACTTTTACTAAAACAGAATTTACAATTTTATACTGCATACTTTACTAATTACACAATATTTGGCTTTTATTTTTATTACGACTTGTTACACGCATACATACTATCACTAATACAGCTACACACTTGAAAATTACATATTCAAAGAATACTAAACTGTTTATTGTCAAATTATACTGCACTAAAATTACACTGCTCAGAAAACTCAAAACAAAATCTACACAAAAACGTACCTCTCAATCTCTACTACTCTGTATTACATTACATACACACAAACTTACTCACTCACTTTGTGCACTGAACAAGAACTTATACTCTACTAAATTAATACTTATTAAGGCCCAACAAACTAACTTAATACACTGATACAACAATATTGATATTTTCTATTAAAAACAATCACAAACCTACTGAACAATACCACAAACAATAACAACAATAGAACATCTCAACAATGACACTAAAATTTTAAAACTACACTAATATTCTAAAACAAAAATTCTTATTAATTATTTATTCTAGAAAATTAATTATAAAAGTTAAAGACAAAGTATAACACCATTGCTATCAACTAAAAAAAGCATTAATGGTGTATTTGATCAAAGTACTACCAAACTGAAATTTATATTATGGAGTGCAAAGAGAGGGAGATTGACTTGCATTTCGATCAATAACAAATCAACTAAACACTGTACACTTTCTACACTACACAGTTTTCGGTACATTTTGATCTTCTCTTAAATATTTTCTATCTAACCTAGCGATGTATCTAACTCTTATTGTGTAAATAAACGTTTTCATCTCGTTTCAGATTTGAATCTGTAATTATTTGTGTAGTGGGCTCTTGATTATTGTAAGTGGCATTATAACTAGCCAGTTATAAAGTCACCAACTTGTCAAGTCTTGTAATTTTTCTGTACTTAGGTTTTATGTGTGTGTACGTGGGTTTCAGCACAACGGTGAATAACGTTTTCTCGCTTGCCTATTAACCTCCTTTCCTGTCCATCCTTCAGGGTTTCTGGGGCTATGATATCCTGCATGGTACGGTGTTCCATTCCACGACGATCTGATTGTGCTTTCATTGTCAGCTCTCATGATTGATGATTTAAATTCTTAACAATGAAAGCACAAACATTAATGTAAGATGATTGGAGATTTTTGAATAACTGTGATAGTTATTAAACGGCGATGCAATTATAGAACGCTATCCGGACCAACCTGTCACTGCACAAATGTTTTGTGCGGTACGAGGACGACTTCGGCTCTTTCTGGATGGTGGACGACGCGGAATTTGTGAAGAGACGACACCTGAGTCGAGGCAGGCCGCGGAAGTATGAGCCGGCCGCCGGGCCCCCGGGCCACAACCCGCCACAGTAAGGGCGCCGCGATACACTTGCGACCGTCCAACGATCGAGCTTAGTTACGCTTTTCATGGTGTTCATAATTGACCGTAGTAAAGTGTTTAGATACTTTAATAGACATATTAAAAAACTAACAAGACAATGAATTTAAAATGAAGAAATTATAAACACCAAAACAAAAAAGCTAACTAAGAATACTATATACTTAGATGTCATAAGACTTATATTTTAGTTCGGCAAACTTTTGACGAAATGTCGACTTGAACTTTTGATCGCTTAAACTGAAAAATGTGATGAAATCTTTCTATATAAAACCGTGAGTCGTTGGACGATCGCGTCCACATAGCGTTAATGTATGTGAATACAAACACCGAGAATTATCAGAGTATTAGTGTGAGAGAGATAATCCTCGGTAGACACACTAGATTTGATGTTTCTGACCATTATTGTAAAGTGTTTCACCGTGTAAGCTTAGATTAATTCAACATGTCATGTTAGTCCGTAACTAGACACGTGTTTATAATAGCGGATTATGAACACTGTGTGTGCTTATATTTGTTTTCACGAAGGCATGAAATATTTAAATTGACAAATTGTCCAGTCTCTTGTTGGCAAGACGAACAGAATTTGTTGATTCGTCTGAAGGCTTAGAACGAGTGTGTTTTATGTTTAAAGTAATCGAAACAAGATTGCGAACGGTGCTCTGATCGGCCCGCTTCAATGAACCATTCAGCTCCAATTTCGGCTCCAATCAGACCATCCACCGCAGCCTTGTTTCGATCCTTTAAACGTATAACAAAACTAGTACTTAGGCCTCTCAATAGTTAATATAAACACACACAAGTATTATAGACTCCTAGAGTGCGAAGCTATAGCCAATTGTTTTGCAATAGTTTTTAACATCACATTAAAACAAATAACTTGTTTAAAATTAGCTTCTATATCATATTTTGCTAATGTAATTACATGGAATATTTTCAATTTACATTTGATGAAACTCCGGAGCTATGTCGATGATTATAAACAATGTTTATTTTTACAAAGACATGCATGTTTGCATCTAATACAAATTATTGTAAAGGATCGTCGTTGGATATCCAAGTAAGATTAAATATTATATTTTAATCTTTTACTATTCCCAATCTTTAAATTGTTGCATGTCATCCCAGAGGTAAGTGTACCGCTTCTTATGCTTTGCCTGTGCATTTTTGTCGCATGTTAGTTGAGGGTTTTTCTAACATTTTTCCAATAATATGCTTGCCTTTTTTCCCATTTTCTATTTTATATTCTATTTATCTTTCTCTATCATACACATTCACACATTTACTGTTACACTTTTCATATAAATTGGACTTTAATTCAAAATTATACACTCTACAAAATATACACAATACAAAATTCACTATAAATAGTATAAAATGGTTATGAGTTTATTTGGAAGAGGTCTGAAATGGCCGGGGTATGAATTTTTATTTATTTTGTTTTATTAAAATGATCAGTTCCATTAAATATTATGAATTCATTAGTATTAAAGTTATATGAGAAAAGAAATTGCAGAGTATAATTTGATTTTGAAAGCTGAGTATATTTTTATGATTTGCAAGTTCTATAATTGGCTACTGTTCTCCCAGGTTCATGGGAGCTCAGAGTCCTCCAATGATGACCAGTCCTCATGGATATAGCGAAGCACTGAAACGAAACCTGCAGGTATGGTACAATGTATGTGACCTACTAAAAGATGGCTAACAAATCGCTACTAACACATTATTGAGCAGCAAAAAATAAATTTCTTAAACGTTTTGTGTTATCCTTTTGCAGGGTATGATGGAAGATTGTAACCTGTCGTACATGTCCGGTGAGGATCACATGATGCAGTCTGAAGACTATCCTTCCTCGCATGATGATTACAGGTATTTTTTTTAAACGTTGCCCCACGTTGCGTGGATTTTCTCCTGTATCGTGGGTGCGTTTACAAACATACAAGTTCACATACACATGGCACCCAAACCAGAAAAATCAATTTTTGGATCACACATAGACTTGCTTTGTGCGGGAATCGAACCCGCTACACGTTGCGCGGCAACGAGTTACTCATCCATCGCGCCAACGCAACATTTCATTTAATACAAAGTGACATAGTTCACAAAATGGTAAGAAAATCAAGTTGCAAGCTAATAGAAATAAATGGAAATACAATAATAATACTATCACAATAAATCACAAAAAAATATTTGTTTAGTCCAAAATAGTCTATTATTTCATTCCCATTTTAACAATGAATATGCTCACCAGCCGGCCCCCGATGCTGAATGGATACGGCAGCAGCAGTTCCTCTCATGATGTAAAGGCTGAGGACCTGACCAGCGACCCTCAAGATGTCAAACCCAACATCTACGCACTCAAGAACGAGATGCAGGCTTCTGATTATTCTAACAAAGGTACCTTTGAATATCTTATGACCTATACAGATGATAACTTGGTAATTTTTCTTATTAAGAATTGCTGTGTTAAACTGTCAAACACCAAGCGGTCACCGGTGACCGCAACCTATTGTTCTTTAATTGTGTCTATAAATACGGTACTCGACGAGTTAAATGAGAGTTTTGAGATTTAGAACAAATCATTTTTGTATTTTTTGAACGTATTTAAATACCACTTCTTCGAGAATAACGTCACTATAATTATAAAACTATTTATTTTCTTTGTATATATAGCTTAAATGTATATTCTCCTTTTCAGACTACTCAAACTCAAACAAAGAGTCATCCAGCAACCGCTCCGGCGAAACTAGTCCTTATGATGACTACCCAAGGGCTGAAGATCGGTACCGACCTTCCATGTCTCACATCAAAGACGAGGCTGAAAACTTGTCCCTCAATGAACAGAGATCTGACAAATAAAGTACCCACGAGTTCGTAGGCACCAATACCAGTGCCTCACGCGATCAACTATCAAGATTATGTGGCTTTTACTCGTACACAGTCTGTGTATGTGTAAGCAAAGCTAAAGTGTGTCTGTACACAAGTGTGTAAGTACACACGTCACGTGAACTAAGTGTAAATCGTTTACAGTAACACTCCAGTGTTTGGCGTTTATTATCACAGTATATAATACTATATTAATTACGGGTGTAGATCTATTTCAAGTTATTAGAAATGGTGTACTAGAAAGTGTAATGTGTTCACTGTTCGAAGTTTTTATAATAAACAAAATGGACGATCTCGAAATGAGGAATTGTAAGTTAGAGTTAACCAAATATTTTTTTCTTTATTTTTTAATTGACCCGGTTTTAACGGGGTTTTGAAGTATTATAGGTTTTACGTTTTTTTTTTTTTAATTTTAGTTTCCCCTTAGGTTTGGTAGCTGAGGTAGTTTAACTTGTTAGAAATATTTATAGCATGTAAGTTTTAGGAAGTTTTTAGATGGAACGGATTGCGCAAATAATCATTGAATTCAACGATAAATAACCTTAAAAGGTCCATATCAATATTTAAATAAAATATTTAATCATTATTTGTAATATACAAGTATTAAGAACAATAAGTAGCAACTATTGATACGATAAACATAAGCTTAATTATACGCCAAGCGTTTCAGTTGTTTTTTCATTTTGTGCTACAGAAAAGTAAAGAAGATCTCAGAACATTTACATTTATTTTCAAAACACAGAGACCGTTTTATTTTTTACATATATTTTTGTGATTATTGATCTGATGTAAAGTTATCATATGTATCTGATGTTTATGTTAATGGCGGCCTGATATTTTTGGTACCGTTTATTTTTTATTACTTAATTTAAATTCCATGGAATTGTTTTTAGCGTAAGTTTAGACTGTAAATATTTATCATGGATTGTAAAATAAATCTCTTTTGAAAAAAAAAAATAATGGTAAAAATTTAGACGAGTGTAACGTTCACTTAAACTATTGCATATTAAATCGTTCCATGTTGTAGAAAAAAAAATTAGAAAAAGTAAACTTAGTAGTAAAAATCACTGTATCTGTACTGAGAAATCGTTTCTTGTTTTGTTCGAAAAAAAAAAATTTCGTGCATTTTTCGATTTTGCATTTACCTACTATAAAATAATAATAAGGGCGTTTGGTTGATTTTTGTTACTTTTTCGATAATAATCGAAAAGGGTGGAAATTACCATATCACACATTATTATGTATACTTGTAACGTAGATAACTGTATAATGAGTATGTGAAATGTATATTCGAATACGCAATAACTTTGGGATTAAAAATGTATACATTAATAGCTATGTAGGTGTCACATTTTTACATATATACTATGTGAAGTGCAAATGCTGTCACAGTTGGGTTACGGTAAAAAAAACAAACAATTATTGACGTAGAAATAGATAAAAGATTCGATTGTTAGCTGTTCCCATCCGCCTATAAAGCATAGTCCCGCCGCCTGATATATTCCAACCGTACCTTTACCGTGGCCTGACAGAATTTCATACGCATTAGTCACAAACACGTAGCCAGTAGATAAACAATTTCTTCGTACCTACGTTAGTAACTGCTATATAATGAGGCTGTTGGCAAGATCCTTCACCCAGCTGACTGATATTTTCTTTTATACAAAGACTTGTATACGTGTGAACAGTCCCTAACAGTCAAGTACAATAATTACGTAATTATCGTAATTAATCGTTTGTAAACCCGTTGCACGACACAAGGATTCTGAATTTGGAATTGACAACATTTTATATTGTGACGACATTATTTTTTTGTTTTTTTTTTTTATTATTATTATTATTGTTTAGCGATCGCGTACTTACATAGTATGTATGATTATGAGAAAATTTAATAAAGAATGTTTCTCACTACACCGTTTTCGAATTGTTTTTTTATTATTTTGCTATCGTAGAGTTATTAAGTTTGCGTCAATGTCTTTGTGATTATTCGTACGGGATCGTGGATTCGAGCGGTGTAGTGCGAATCGCCTCTTATTTGCGTTCCGTTTAGATGGTCAGCAGAAAGAGTGCTTATGTTCAGTGGAGCTGCAGTGCTCGAGCCAACACGAATACTTATTGATCATTGTAAATTATACTTACTTAGTGTTGTATTAAACGAAATCATTACAATTATCTCACGTGTTTTATTGTTGTGCTGTTATTTTCATTTTAATCCTAAATTTTCTTTCCCTTTTCATTCAATAGTCTATGTAAAGCATGTTGTTTAAACATTCTATTGTGTCGTAATAATATATCGCTTGCAAGAACACCTATTTTGAGGTTCGGCCATAAACATTTATTTATTTATTTGTTCATGTACAAAACACAGACAATACACAGAAAAAAATATATATTATAACAAAACAGAGGTACATAGGTACTGCATATCCCTTATGGGATTTCTTCCTGCAGCCCTGCGAAAGGAGAAATAAATACAACATACATGACACAGTGTGTAACAGCCTTCGATCAACAATAACAACATTGTTGATCGAAGGTAACAGCAAAAAAAAAATGAAAACTTAAACTGATAATTAGAATTAGACTAACCAAAATAATACAATAAAAACATACAAAATAAATATAAATAAGTACCTATTTATACATAGCATTAGTTCATTCTGAAATTATAATGGTCAACGTATCGGCTCGTCCGGATCTTCCACCATATTCTTCTACCACATCTATCACAGCTTTACGGAAAACCAGCTAGAAAGAACGCCTGCATTGTACTTCGTGTGAGTGAGGTTTCCGGCAGTTGCCGATGACAAAATTTTTGCCCCCATCCCCAATCCCTATCCGCGCGCGCCTCAAAGAGCCATCAGGCCACCACGGTTCCCGTCCAATAGGGCTGATGCCGATACGGAGCCGCGGAACGTAAACGGTAACCGGGGCTACGGCTCGACGTGCAGGAGTAGGAACGGGGTGGTTTTTAATCAGTAAGAGTCTGACACTCCCTCCCCAGGTAGTAGGAGTCATCCAATGATTTTCCCCACTTAAAAAAAAACACTTTTTTAACTTCTTTGGTGTTGAGGTCTACGAGTAACTGCGAGCGTCGGGTATCTACGGGCAGCATGAATTGCTTACCATCAGGTGATCCATTTGCTGTAGGGTAGGTATATAGAAATTAATTATCTATAACATTTGCACGGTTGACATAGTGGTTGGGCAACTGGCTGCAGCACAACGTGTCGCGACTTCGACAAAATAACTATGCGATCATGGAATTGTTGTTCCAGGACTATTTTATGTCTACCCAGTACACAGGGAAAAATCCTAGTGTAGTTAGAATTTTTTTAATATGCCGCATTAACTTGATGCCTTTGAAAAGGAGTTTTACAGAAAGCTATAAGAAGAGACGAGGGGAAGGAGTAGGATTTTGTCCCGCAGGGGAACAACCATGGCTAAAAATAAAATAATAAATAATGCCTTAGGGAAATGCCATTTGTACCTACTGTTCTAGATAATAGTAGATATATAAAAATGAAACCCGTTTCCCGTTGTCACGCCATAATTTGAGAACGGCTAGACCGATTTGGCTGATCTTTTTTTTGTTGTGTTTGTTATTGTAAGGAGAAGGTTTTTACGACAGAAAAAGTCCTGAAAACCCTACAGGAACAGGAGAAAACGGGACTGCGCGTACAAAGTCGCGAGCAGAAGCTAGCGATAGATTGATAATAGTTCATCTTCCACATTCCCTTTGCTTTCAAGCCTGAAACAAACCATTCTTGGAAGTGAATTGCATCGTTATGTATTTATGTCATAACGGCAGCAACTAGCCTTGCCATGAGTCAGTAACGATCACATTTGTTGCGCATGCGTGTCAGAGCTCGCTATAATTAATATTATGTAAAAATAAAGAAGTGGCGATATCCGTCGACCGACGTATCCGCTGTAGTTTCAGCCGTAATAATATATTGATATTTGATAACTGAATTTGATGGATGAGTTAGTTAAAGGAGTTTATTTTGTGCTCAAACGTGAGTTTGGCAAATAATGTTATTGTGATGTTGTAAATGAGATTTTGTGTCGTGCTCATGCATAAGGGCGCGGGCTTTTTTTTTTAAGGGGGGAAAATCATCGAATGATTGCTCCCGCCTGGGTGAGGCGGGAGGGAGTGTCAGACTCTTACTGACTAAAAACCACCCCGTTCCTTCTCTTGCACGTTAAGCCGGAGCCTCGGTTACCCGTTAGGTTCTCCACGACAAGGGCGCGGGCTTGAAACCTACCAACGGAACGTACTAAAGTGACTTTTTCCGAGTTATATGTACTTTCTAAGATTATTTAGACACTACTGACAAACGGTGAAGGAAAACATCGTGATAAAAAGAAGACTTATAATATCAAATTATAAGTTTGAAATTGCCAACCTGCATTGAGCAAGCATGGTGATTAATGCTCAAACCCGCGCGAGAAGAGGCGTTGCTCAGCTGTGGGCATTTATAGGCTGATGATGATAATGATGAAATGAGATTTACAGCGCGTGGTGGCGGCCTATTTATCCTGCAGGTTTCCACTAAAGGACTACCAACACATTTAGCAGAGATCAGCAGCTGCAGCAGGGCTCCTGATACACTTGACTTTTGGGAACTGTGATCTCAAACACGCCTGCTAAGCGTGGAATTTATAGAAAATCCCTCTATTGTGGTAAAAGCCTATGAACTGTTGTGGACAGTGAATATTATGATGTGAATGCTTTAAATTAGAAAAAAAATCATCATCAGTTAAAATACCTAAATCTTTTGCGTGACGTCACCGGAGACCGCATCATCGTATAACAGACGAGATAGTGGTCAAACATCGGCCCATCAAATATTAAAAAAAAAATAGAAACAATTTGAAAAAATACAAATAGGTATAACAAAACAATAATAATACTAAAAAGAGTAATGCCAAGAACAAAGAAACAATAAGCTATAAAAATAAAGTGATAATAGCATTTTTTTTATTTAATTGCATGGGACATGGGGAAAAAAAATTACATGACACTCATAATATAAATAGTGAAAAGTGGGTGTTACATTGTACATATATAACGTGCACCTATGCCTACCCCTTCAGGGATAAAAGGCGTGATGTTATGTATGTTTGTACAAAAGCTACTTATATCCAAGTAGGCTTGTTTATTCAGCCTGTATATACAGTGAGCATATTAGATATTGTTTAGGCACATCTTGTTAAAAAAACTGTGTTAATTACCTACCTAACTCAGATCATTGCCCTCTAATGTAACCATTCAGGATCATTATGGCGAATTTAAAGTTCCGGACTTCAGAAGCGACTGGTTAATTACTTACTGAAGTGGTTTAATAATAATTATGTAACATGTGATATCTTGCTTCTAACATAACTTAACTCGTCGAGTACCGGTTTTGTAGACACAATTATAGAACAATAGGTTGCGGTCACCGGTGACCGCTTGGTGTTTGACAGTTTAACAATATACCATCACGCATTTTATCCCCGAAGGTTTAGGCAGAGGTGCACATTATGGCACTTAATGCCACTGTACAATGTAACACACACTTTTCACTAGTTATGTTATAAGTCCCGTGTAATAGGAGGTGAGCTTATTGCCATATACCGGTAATTCGTTTCAAGGTAGGCAAAATGGTCTTTTATCGAAGAAAATAATAAGTAGGTACTCCTACCTAATATCCATTTATCGTCAGTTAGTTATGTTTGTCTTGAAAAGATCGAAGTGAACTAAACAGACACACACATCCCCTTCAGTGTTTTAGTCCAATTCGGTCTTTGGACTCTTAAGATGGGGTTTGCCGTAATCAGTACCTACACCTTTTTTTTTGAGGGGGGAAAATCATCCATTGATTTCTCCCGTCTTGGGTTAGGCGAGAGAGAGTTTCAGACTCTTACTGACTAAAAATCACTCCGATCCTACTTCTGCTCGAGCCGGAGCCCCGGCAACTCGTTAGGTCTTCAGAGGCTGTAATCAGCACACGGCAGGCAACTTGGGAATCACAGTGAGGTACTAACTAAGTCGGAAATTTTAAGGTTGCTTTACACATAATATATCATCACGCCTTTTATCCTCGAAGGGGTAGGCAGAGGTGCACATTATACCACTGTACAATGTAACACCCACTGTTCACTATTTATGTTATGAGTCCATTTAATAGGGGGTTAGCCTATTGCCATATACCGGGCATGGTTCCAGACTCCGTGCTACTACCTACTGAGATTTTTTTAAAAAACCCAGTAATACTTTGCCCAACCCGGAATCGAACCAGAATAGCTTGCTGTCTTTACAGTATCTAAGGTTGCTTTAATATTATGATGTCCGTCTTTTGATGAGTCATCTATGATTTAGGATATACTCGGATTCAATACTTTAACACCTTCCATAATCAATTCCACACATTTCCTTGTTTTATACCTTCTCAAACTTATGGAAACCATTTAATATTTTTTTCAACATCAAAGAGCCATTCAGGGCAGGTTGTAGAGATAAACAGAATAAAACTATTACTGAAATGTGGTGTGTAATATAATCGATACGTCACAAGCGCGAGGACGCTTGATTTATGACACGAAACAAGTGCAATAGTGCTGTCCCTCGGGCTAAGATATCGATAAAAATATTTTTAAGAATGAATTTCTTTGTAGCTTTTTTTCATATTCAAATTGAAATTATTTATTTGCACAAATATGGATTTGTGACTTGTGGACTAAGAAAAGCTCTACTAGTTTCGAGTAAAACATTGTCATTTTCACAACATATTAGTTACTTGTGTCTTATGTTGTAATTTGTGAACTTCGTATGTCTGAAATAATTTATCTTCTTCAAATTTTAACACAGATTATGAACTAGCTACTTCCACGCGGTTTCACACACTCTGCTCAGCTCCTATTGGTCGTAGCGTGATGTTTTATAGCCTATAGCCATCCTTGATAAAAGCGCTATCCAACACAAAAATAATTATTCAAATCAGACTTCTAGTTACGGAGATTAGCGCGTTCAAACAAACAAACAAAAAGAAAACAAACTCTTCCGCTTTATATAATAGTAAGTATAAGTATAAAAGTATAAGATAAGAATTATCAACATCAAAATATATTATTTAGAAACTGCTAAAATCATTACAAAGCAATGGCTAAAATCAATAAATACCTAT